TTCCCCCAACACGACATGAAGAGCGTTAAGGAATGGTTAATAAGTAATCTTCATCGATTCCATGTGACTGAATATAAAGTGGTTCCTAAGCCTCACCAGCCAGCTAGACTACATAAACCTGGAGGCTACACCTTGCAGAATGCCTTCCAACAACGGGACCTCGAGTTGCTAGTTCAGGATGAACTCGGCTGTTTGATACAGAGGAGGCGTCGACAACCGGTAATCAACATGTCAGTCTTCTACTCAGAGCATTTGATCGCTTTAACCCTTTGTATTCTGAAAGTATTTATAGCTACCATATTGTTTAAATGGTAATATTGCTTAACTGCAAATATCATTTCTGATAGTACTCGCAAGAAGACGTACAATAGCCTTCTGTCAATAACTAGTAAATGGCCAGAACTGATACGTTGCTCTCCAGCGTGTGAAGTTAACTTTTGCAGTTCAGGTCGAGCGTAGTCGAAAATTGGTTTCAGAGAACTGTAAGTAGTTGCTTTATCTGTTAAATTTTATTTGGTTTTGTTTCAGTTTGCCAGCCTTATTAATTTTTATTGTAGTGGATATGCCATACTTCTGTATAACTATTTTACTATTTTAAGCGTATTCTGTATTATACTGATGCAAAAGATATGTTGGTACCTGAAAGTACCGCCAGGCCTCAAGCATAATAGTAAAAGCTAGGGCCTTCACTGGGCATAATGGTGGGGTGGGGCGCATAGTTTGGAGATTTTAACAATTTTTTCTTGCAACCGAAAATAATGTATTTAGCAGTCATTAATATCCTCATTTGTAGTATTACATGTATATATGTTGTGATTCGAGCGTTTACTGAAATTCATCCGTTGTCCAATCCCCATGGAAGTTATCCAGTTACTGTGAGGCGTAAAGTGCTGAAGAGTACAATGACCGACGTAGTAGCCCCTAAGATAATACAACATTACAACTCAACCATGGGCGGAGTGAACAAAACGGATATGCTACGCTCAATGTATGATTATGATCGGAAATCAAAAAATTGATGACAGATTGTCTTTTGCAATGAAGGAAATGAGATAATTTACTGCATCATGACATCTCACTGCTGGAGTTTCGAAAACTTGGCAATGGGGCTTTTCGCTTTGGGAAGCACAGCAGTGAAAAAGGAAGGTTACCTTCACTCCTTATGACGTAATCACCAAAGGGACCAAAGTGAGGAAGGAAAAACAAATATTCTATGCCTAAACGCATCAGGAAACATAATCTTTACGCTCTCTGGCCTCTATTTGTTGCTGTAATGGTAAGATATGAAAGAAGCTCCATTCAAAAATTCCACTCCAGACCACATACAAAATGTTCTTTTTGCACTGATCTTTCCGTGCTGCCATGACAAAAAGCTGATCTCACGAAGTTCGTGTTTAGTAATGTACCTTCATGGTGACAATGTTGATCGCCCATGTTCCCGTCGGTACTTACAAGTACCATTTCGAAACTTTCACATCAACCTGACTATAAAAATTGAAATTTTTCATTTCATGTTTATCATTAACCAAAATCTAACTTATGTGTTAAAATCATGAAAAAGTTATACCTAAATTAATTCAGGATCCAGAGGCTTAACGCTTACATCACTCTACAAATGCTTAATGTTTACTTGCGATCCCACAGAGAATACCTCATCCAAGCGTGGCTTCCCCACAGAAGCATGATCACTTTGCGCTCGAGACTCTACAGCGAGGGGACACAAGCACCTCGCAGGTCACCTAAGGCGATCTTACTAACTTGGGCTAAATTTCTTAAGAGGGCATAGCGGGCAGTATGGGCACCTGCGATTAACCTCATAATGACTTACCGCATCCCCTAAGACCCCAAATACACTTGGTGCTCTCTCATGGAACTCATTTTAATCCTGTTTGAGAGGTAATTAGTTAATTTTGGCTACGCAGTGTAGTCTGTTGGAAGACCATATAAACTCCATCCCCCTTCGAGTGGGCCAGCAGACGAAGGTCCCACTTGGGCACATTGGTACTTCATTAAAAAACGACAAAGGCGACGACGACGATTACAACAACAACAACAACAACAACAACAACAACAACAACAACAACAACAACAACAACAACAACAACGACAACAGGATATCCATCGCCTGGGCTGATACCTCATTGCTGTACGATCACAATCGTCTAGAGAATCAAGAGTGATAAAATGGGAAATTGGCTACCTCATGTAGCATCTGAACTCCTTAAGCAAAAAGGCATGGTCAAGGTGCCCACACTTTGTTAACAACACACGACCACAACCAACTGACTAATGGGCAGAGAAATGCGGCATCGACGAGGCAGTATCCTTGAGACTTTCATTACTCCGCATCATAATCAGCCTTTACCTCGCAGATAACTCAGCACACTTATTAGTACTTGCAATTGCCTCCATGACGCATTACGCTATTTACATTTCTTGATCCAACATGCAATTGCCAGTAGACAATTCGAAGTAAACCAACGGTGTATTGCGATCATGGTAAAACTTCGGTGAGTCCGCCAACGTGCAACCAAGCTTACTGATACATTTCCGCTGATTATGCGATTTGTATCCTGTGATTGTCAGCTTTCTAGCAATCTGAAAACATTACTCTGTTGTTCCATTGGACGTTTCGAAACAGAAGCTTTGGTATGGAATCGCCATAAACGCTCGCCACATCACAGAGGCAACAGTCTGTTTTTATTCAACACACTTGCTCATTTTTACGTTTAACCAAATATACCGTGTAAAACTTGCTTGTGCGTTCCTACGCTAAGAATGACCGAGCTGTTCTTTATGCGATTCCGATCACTGAGTTAAACGGTGTTTTGCACTACAACGCCAGATTGCAAGAGTAAATGGACTGCCAAAATCAGTGCTCATTATATGCATCAAATGAATGTGTTCCCAGTGAAGCTTGCGCTACTCTATAACGCCTATGATATTTCCCCACTGATCTCGGTTCATTGCCTCGGAACAGAGCAATCTTTAACAACGATATCTATCAGTCACATAAGGTAATGTAGGAATGCTATAGATGGCAAAGGTACTACTAATGGCGAAGATACTAAGTGCTGTCTGCAAAGTATAAAGAATTACGCGAAAAGACTGAATGTGCTCTTTGCAATCATCTTCCTGGTGAATGGACGAAACACTCTATTTGCTCTCATAGATCTATACCGGTTCAATGATTCAGTGTAGGTATCAAACCAAAACTTCGACTGAATTATTCAGCCGTTCCGGTCCTTTGAACGTGGTAGGCTACATAGTGTGTGCAGCGAAAGCTAGACTTAGACACTTCAGCGAGACAACCAATCCCGATGCGAGCGAGAACAAGCAACACTTCCGGTTGAGTTAAGATAAAGATTTTTAAATCCAACTTCATTCGCTTCGAAGTAACCAATTAGTACTAGGCATGCTTTGATAATGCTGGCGTTATAACGTGTTAAAATGTCTGAACTTGACCGCTCATGATGGGGCATAGCACGACTATTTTATCTCCGATGTAGCGCATACGAAGAAATCACGTTGGAGAAATGCGTAGGATGGGCTTGCAAACTACGAGAAAAGGTTTGTGAATAAACTGATTTACTGATGACCGATGGAACAGCGTTCGGCTTTACTTTGATACTCGCTGCAGATATCAGACATAGAGGAGCAGGAACCAGCTTATAAATCGTTTGTGTGCAATAGCCTTTTAAAGGCTGTAGCGCCGGATTCGGAGAGGTTTGTGAGACGCATGCAAGTTAACCGAGTTATTATGTTTGCTTTGACACAGCCGAGTATGGAGTCGCGCTAACACCATTTGTTGCAATATCAAGTAGGGTGGGGCAATGGAAGTCATTTAATGCTTTGCTGGTAGGAAGAGGTAATTTTCACTTGGTTTACTGCGTGAACATGTCATGTTACCTGGTGTGCTTCCTGTAGTCAGTAGTAGCTATTCCAAAGGTCCGGATCGATTAAAGTGGTACGGTCATCATAAATTTGAGGCCAAAGCACATTGGACCCTATAGAATTGAAGACTGATAGCTCAGGTTGTTCAGATGGCGGTTAAACTGTTCGCTGAGCCTGGTATTTTTGTTGCAAACGTTTCAGCACCAATCGAGGTGACATCATCAGTGCGTAGTTGAGTGGAGTGTAGTAGCTACTCTACGCTACTACACTCCGCTCAACTACGCACTGATGATGTCACCTCGATTGGTGATGAAACGTTTGCAAAATAATTGCCAAGATCAGCGAACAGTTCAACATTGGACCCTTTCGCTCAGTGCGTCTCCACTGATAGGATCTATGCTCGAGGCTATATTGGCCAGCCTCTGAGATGGGCCTTCAAACACCGGATCAGAGAAGGGACTGTGATATAAAGCTGACGCTGTGCCAAACCCGAAGATTTGGCTGCTTCGAACATCAAGACGATAAGAGTGACAATGAGTAAGTGCAGGTATCTCGAGTACGATAACGACATTTGGGTTTTGGAGGGGTTGTGGATTATGTGGCATAGTCGCTGCAGGCTGAGCTTTCCTAATCGTTTGTAGCGAAAGCTGAGAGTGCCGAGCTTCATCATACTACTCCATTGGTGAATGCTCACAAGTGTGTGGCTTGCGACAGAATTATTTAACCTTCGTAGTGTCGACGTCGAGAATAGTCTCATGGCAATGATACGCGACCTCCTAAAACTATGGAAGTATTAACTTATCCAAGTTGCTTGTGCCCAAATGGACGGTGTCGATCGCATTGTAATAAGTTAGACTGCTTACCTCTCGTTTAAATTCCTCCTCCATCACTGCACCACTGTTAGAATTGGTCAGTTAATCCACTAAGATGGATTCCCTTTATTAATAACTTAAAATGTTATATACATTATGCTCATCGAGGTTTTTAATAATCCGTCAGGAGCAAGCACCAAACAAGTTTCCGAGAAGCAATATAATTAATGGCTCATCTGCCATCCATCAGAAGAGTGAGCGTCATTTTTTTGGCGCCTATTTGGAAGCATTTTGTTAGCTGCGATTAGCTATCGCTTTTTCGAAGCAATGTATCTCACGGGTCATAAATTCATCTGAAGGAAGATGTGAATTTCGGACATTATCGTTTTACCACCGTGCACTCACTGATAGGTGTTGTTTCGATGCAACCTTGTCCGGGTATTTCTTGTCTTACCAGCATCTCTTGAATCTCTCCAGGCGAATGCTCCACATAAATGGGACTACCTGGCTGAGAAATGTGATTTCAAAAAATTACCAGTTGTCTACTTACTGTATAGAAGTTGGCGTTTTTTTCTCCAGATACGGGTGCGGAAAAGTTCAGTTCCGCTTCATCAAATGAAGCAAAATTGAGTTCATCATCTTTCAAGATTACAAATGCATATGTGGCAATTACTGTTGTTGGCAAACAGACAACCGGGGCTCCAATGAGACTCGTAATCATCATTTCTTTCAGTTCGACATAGCCCCAATGGATTTCTGACGAACCTTCCAAGCAAAAAAGTTAGACGTACCCCATTATTTGTTTATCACAGTGTGAGAAATAAAGCATATGAGTTGGGGTACAATCCGGGTCACAACAGCAGTTGGTGTCACATGCCAATCGAGTGAGATCGCAGCCGCAAACTTTGAGAAAAGAGGGCACAAAGTCCTTGCTTGTTTCACTTGCAGCGAACAGTAGTTGCATCAAGAAGGGAAGAAAGTATTCTAGGTAGTGAGGTTTGATACCAGTGAACGGAGAGATGGAGGCAATCATCTGTCAATCGAATAACATAAGCAGACAGCTGAGTTCTGTGTATATTCAGCAACATAGCGTGGAAATTGGGTAGAATGATACAAAAACAAGCGTATATGATGAGGCTGTTCATGATATGTTTGTAACGTGTTTATGGGGTTGTTGTGAACCATTAAAGTTATAGTTGTCATAAGCAACTAAACAGGAAGATAGGTAAAATGTTATTCCACCGAAGTGAAGAGATAGTGAGCAGTCTATAACAATCCAACATACTTACTATGAAGAGCTGTCTATGGACAAGGTTTTGCTACTTTTGAGGGTCTATTTGGCAGCTACTATCTTCAAAGTTCGTTCAAAATTACACCACGCGTTGCCAATGAACTCACATGACCGACGTACATCATTCTTACCTAATATTTCATTTCACTTTACACTTAAATCTGTAATGCTCTCAACTTTATGTGTGGCTCCATCGTACTCAGATGACTGCCACTTCCTCACGTTATCTCTACCTGCACAGTCAAATGATTAGAAAAAGAGGGAGCACGGTGTGCGCAATAGAAGAATCGTTTCGGCTACTATTTCAATGGTCTCGGGTTCGATGCCTACTATTTCTATCTACTGATAGGAAATGACATCGAAACGTGTCATAGGAGTGCAATGTTTTTAGGCGGGCAACACCCAATTTCCACATGTTTCAGCTACGGCCTTAGTGATCGAATGACCAGAGTTCACTTTAATTCGGATCCCAGTCCACCTTGAGATTGCGCTTCACAATGAATGCACACGACGTGTACTTCCAAATGACCCTGCAAACAAAAATAATGTTTTCCCACAGAAACACATTAGTGCAAATGCTATGATGCTTGATTTATACAGATGCACTGAAGAGGGCTGGTGCTTGTACTTATCAGGCGGTCCGAATTTGTGGCCAGAGCTTAATAATTTCATCAACTATCTAGTAGTTGAATAAGCTTTGTGGCACAGTAGCTGTTTCCCACCTCTAGCTAATGTGTATAATGATGAATGATGATGGTTTAATAAGATACCGCAACTGGTGGAGAGATCGTGTATATGACCATTACTGTAAGTATTTCATACGGATCTGTATGTGCCATATAGCTAACGATGTTCGCACATTCAAGGTTTACGTAATGCGCGCGAAGGAAGAAAGCATCGAAAAACCAACCAAAATAGAGTTAGCAAGTTCCATCGTCGATGAAACCAACAGTCATGAGCAAGGATGTGCAGTTTATGCAAAAAGAAGGAAAATAGGACATTTGAACAAGTAGGCCTCCGTTAACAAGCATCGCTGTTAGACTGTTCAGTATTCAATTATCATAGTAATTTAGTATGTGTGAGGGAAAAGTCATAGGTTTTAGTTCTGTTGCGCTTGGCAGGACCTGATGAATGATGCGGTGATACGCTACTCTGATGTGTTGCTTCCCCTCAGGAACGAACAAATACAACAAACAGAATAGCAAAAAGAGAGATCGTGCGTTCTACTGTCCTATGGGGATGGGTATCGGGGTCATGTGTTTATTATTTGATTCGTTAAACTACTGGCTGTATAAAAATTGTGGTTTACAAAACCAGCAGTATGTGTAGAGAAAGGTGGATAATGTCAAAGGAATAGTCGAAAAGCAACAGCATCGTCTGCTAGAGAAGTTAAGAGCCATGTTCAAGTAGCTCAATGCTCACTGACTTTCTGAGCTCGATACTTCCGATACGGTGTATAGCAAATAATGTTACCGATCCAGAGGTTCCTATCCGAGAAGACCACACACAGCGAACTGTAACATTTTCAGTCAGTCTATTCAGGAGGTCCTGCTGTTTAGTCATTTGGTCACCTAGCGACTTGAAGCAAATATGGCATTGTATGGGCAGATATTGGATATCGAGTAATTAGCTTAGCAGGTGTGTGCATGACGTACTCTAGTCTGCTCCAACTCAACAGCCAGTTAGAAGTCAAAAGACATTGCCAAACATGCATTATCCGAATTCAGTTTTATTCGGTAAGTTTTTCCACTAGATATGCGTGGTACTTATCGACAATGGTGGTCTGGTTACGTGTACGATACAATTGTGGTCAGTCCGACACGAACGTAAATGCAACGTTTGCAAATTATCGCCAACTGCTAGACAGTTATATGACCCATTTCAAAAGTGACAGTTCATACCGATGCAATCAGCAACTTCTTTGAAAATTTATTTACCAGCCAATAGAAAATAACATGGAAATACATAGCAGCTTGATATGCAGCATAGTGAACGGATAGATTCTAACTAACTTCTTGAAGTTATGATGCTACGCAACCCAATACAATCATTGCACCAAAAGTCCACCACAGAGAAAGGCAACGCAGTAGCAGAACACAGTAGTCAAATTCAGTCGTTTGGAATATCGTCCCCTTTCTTCTATATAACCCATTACTAAAGTATCTAAAATTTTCATTTTTAAGACAAAGGCAATGGTGTTGATAGTCGACATCTAGTAGTGCAGTGAAAGACATACGTGTACAACGGGGCAGTTAGCTTCATGTTTTGCAACGTTCCCTTTACTTCTCTTCGCTAATATCATGGGAACTTCCGTCTGACAAATCAACGGGAATTGTGAGGTATGAGCATTCCTTCCGTAGGAAACTTCTACTCATAAGAAAAACGAATGATTAATTCAAGGGGTTATTCAGTGATGAAAAAACTGGGGCTACATTGCTACAGATTTTCACCAGTTCTCTTCTCTTCGTAGGTTGAAGCACAAGCAGCGAATGCATCGTATTTTTATGACATCTAAGGAGTGTTCGTAATCTGCATACTCCAAGTCTTTCAGCCGGTAAACCGAAAGAGGTATAAAAAGAGAGAAATGCAACAGGCACTGTCATCCATGATCTAATATCCAGTGCACCTCCGGCTGGAATTTGGCAAGACCAGCTTACACTGACTAGACATTTACGAAGAGCCGCCAACCATCGCAGTATAACGCTGCTGAAATTTTGAATTCAGTCGTGATGGACGTAATACCTTTAAGAGATTCGAAAGACGGCTGACTCTCATTAAAACCATAACTTAAAATTTACGATTTTCACGTTGAAAGAAATTCTTCTTTAATTTCTTATTGACCTTGCAAAATGACATTGGTAGGTAAAGCTTCGAAGGCACACAGTAACAACATTTATGTGAGTAGTCTCAAATGAGATACAAGAGCGTGATCCCCCTAGATTGTTAAGTCAGTGAAATGTATTAGGAAAACATAGTTTATTGAGAAATATCACACAGGACTTTTCTTGCACAAACTTTAAAATAACACAAAGAAGCGTATTTCAACGGCGGATGCTGAATCTAAATATGCACATGGTCTCATTAGCTGAGACAATTTACAATTAATATGTTACATAAAATGGCAAAACTGGGCCTAGAATCGCTCAATATAAAGAATGGCAATTTGATTACTTCAACTGAACAAGACGAAAATAATCAAATACTCCTTTTGATTACACAAAGTTAGTTGTACCCGACGAATTTCTGAAGCCTGTGCGAGTTAACGAAGACGAGCAGTGCTCTGTCAAATAATATACCTGAAGGATTCCGGCAGTGGTTGGCACTTGGTGCAAACAAACCTATTCATAGTCCTTGTGGACAGCCTCCTATCAGTTCGACTCACCTGACTGCTGCCTTAAGTACAATGGAAAATAGATTCAACAAGGTAGTAACTAAAAAGCCTGGCATTTTCAGGCCAGCATTGCAGAGCAACTATTTTTAACGATGCAGTTGTACTAGCTCTACCGCATCATATCAATTATTATGGACTGGCTGACGCAAAATCAGAATCGCCTGTCATTTTTGTCCTTTTTGTATAGAAGCTTGATGAATACCTTCTTCTCAGAGACGTCGGCCGGACGCTTCTCAATTACTTTTGTTTTTGAGTAGTGTGCCATGCACTTCTCCGGACACATTATTTCCGTATTGTTGCTGAGCCACGTTGCAACTCACCGCCAGTTGTCTTTTCGGAACCGATTGTACGACGTCTTGTGAAAATGATGAGAAAGCAACGGTTAGAATTAAGCTACTGCCCTGTTCAAGTAAGCTTGAGGTAAACAGATCGAATGAGTGTCTCACATGAATTCCGATTCAGGTTTATATCCAAAGGATAGAAAGTATTACCTGTTCCCTTTTCCATCGAGTAGTGGAACTGCTTCATAGTACCTAGAATATACGCTGCCTGTCTAGCACTATCAATGACACCAAATGTATCAGACCACATAGTTGAACTGTGTCTCGTAGCGCTGAAGAATATACCATGGATTACATCATCTTCAACGTGACTACTATGCAAGTACACCTGCTGTATATAAGAACAAAGTTTGGTGTCTTCCAATTAGCTTACGAAAATGGCAGCTAAGACTAGCTCAAATGGACTGCCCACGGCCACCTCATCTATTTGTCGATGACTGGTTCCTATTCAAAGCAATTTGTGATTTTTTGTGTACAAGCGGATTAGCGACTTCAGCTTATTTACCGGAAACCCCAATTTGTCTGTATAGACATCAACGATTTATGAGGTCTTTTTTAGAGTAAAATTAGTGGACAACAAACAAACATCAACGGGAACCATGCGTATTCCGACTACGACAAATGTATCTTTGGTGGTATAGCTGTTTAACTCATGTTACCAAGGATCAATAGGTTTCGTTAACCATCCTGACAACGTTTGGTACTGCGTACGTAACAGTGAGACTATAGGGCGCAGCAAGACTTCTTCTGTGAGTGTTTGGCAAGCTGTAAATATGAGACATTTGACCTGCGAGAAGGCAGAGCTGTGCCACGGTTTTAGTTTCATCAAATCCAAGCTTCAGTAAACTTACCAGCTTGTAAGTCACATGCTATGTACCGGCCTTCTTCTTCGTTCTCTGTTACAGCAACAGCATGTCAAGGTTTCATATTTCCCCATCCCTCTTCAATTTTTGCTATCGGAGATGTTCCCCATCGCACACTGGAGTCAGGAGATGTGGAGTTGAGCTTCAACATGGGGGCAGAGTCGCGGAACTGGATTACCCTCATGATATCAAGCTGCTGGGGAAGACACACAGGAAGTCTAAAACTGCTTATTAATGAAGGCATATGTATATGCTCTGTGTTTTACTCTATCCAAGTCTACAGCTTTGCTCCGGACTTGGAAAGTATCTGTGTCTGTGCTCACCAAGACTAGTGACTGTCTGAAGCAAGTGAATGGCTCCAACTTTCTCGGCAGTTGCATCACGGCTGGCAGTGGCAGTAGATACTACATTTCCCAACGAATTGTAAACCCTCACCTTGTATTCATAAACCCGAGGCAAATATGACGTCGTAAGGTGATTAGTCTCAAACTCAGGAGTAGAGTGTACGATGCCACCGTCCGTGCAGTTCTGTTGGACGGCTTCAAGACATAGTCTGTTCTCGCGGAAAACTGCTAGCTGTTGACAACCGCTGTTCATGTACGACTGCTGATGTGTGATGGTAGCAAAATTTAAGTACTAAGGATGCTTAATTCTGACTACTTCGAGAGAACAGTCCATCGCTCTACAGCATTATTCCACAACATGGCTTTGTCATGCACTGGGTACGCCAGCCCATCTTTTATCTCTCCGTGTGTGTTTTCACTTCCTGTAAACGAATGTGAAAAGTGTCACGACGGATACTTACTGACGTGGAAAACGAATTTCATGAAGCTCATATTATATCCAGTCAGTTGGATCCGGCCCTCTGCAAGGTTGAAGACCATGCGGTGTATACTCGCAGTGGTTGGAAGTCTTGGAGATTAAAGCTCATAGTAAAGCTCAGTGACGTCGATGACACCAAACCATTTTTGTTTTGTTAGGTTTACACTTAAACAAAAAAACCAAAAGCAAGAAATAAAAACCGGGTTGTGTGCAAATTCAAATATGAGCCTAGTTGCATATTTTGCACTGATTTACACGCTTGGACAAACAAAGTTATCTTCTACCAGTACCTGCATGGTACTGATGACAAAATTGTTTTCGGGATATATATATATATATATATATATATATTGGTTGTTTGATATCCCCGGGGTGACTGCGCTAGATGTGAATGTTGACAAGGCGTCGACCTGTCTAGCGCCCTCCACCTCGATTGCTGGCTCCAGGAGACTGAATCGTTGCCCGGGCCGGACGGGGTACACGGTACGCGGGCAAGTGCTGGGCTCACCAAGTGGTCCCATCCAGTGCGAAGCGTACTAATCTTCATCAGCATCATCATCATCATCATAAGCAGCAGCAGGAGGAGGAGGAGCAGCAGCAGCAGCACATCAACTATTTGAACTGGCGCTTCGCTGCCACTAAACCATGATGACATATGAATAAATACTAATAAGAGGGAGAGAGGGAGAAACCCTAATGCCCTACGCAAACATTCAGGGGCAAGGCGCCTACATCTTGTGTAGACAACGTACTGTCACAAATAGCTAGGTATCGTGCAAAAGTAATGCGACATCGGCGAGACAGTTTCCTTGCGGTTTTCACTGCCACGCGTCATGATCAACCATTACCCTCAGCTAACAGCACCAAACATATTATAAACAGGCAATCCAGTTAGGAGACGGCATCAGACGCGCCACTAGTGTCGGTTGCGAGCCATGTCCTGTAAAGTCCCGAGCCAAGCAAAAGGCGAGTCATGTGGACTATAGTCTGAAAGCCGATGAGGACCAACGGCACCCAGTTTGGTCGTCAGTGACTTCTTTTCCCGCTGCAAAGTCAACTTATGTCCACCTCGAGCCTTGCGCCACCCTACACCTGGCTGACTAAATAAGATCCTTCTAGGTAAGCGGTGACCAGGCATAGGTAGCACCTGCCCAAGCCAACGCAACTTATTCAGTGTTATCAATGGTTCTAGGGGGCTAGCCTGATAAACACTACCTAGTACACGCCTACGCACATCATCTTTGCGGACACGCTGTTGCCATCCGACAACAACAATGCCCCGCAGACAACGATGATCAAAGACTTGAAAGCGCCTCAGATCTTCAGACCAAAGGGGCGAAGTCTCACTAAAAGAGAACAGAACGGCCCTCACTGTGGCCTTGTATACATGGCCTTTCAGACGGAGAGAAACTCCCTTCTATCGCCAAAAATGCCGCAGGTTCAAGAAGACAGCTCTGGCCTTTGCAGTGCGTGAGCTGACGTCAGTTTCTATGCGCACATCTTTGCTAGTGTAGCTGACAAGATGGGTGCATTGATCAACCACATCGAGTTCCTCGTTAATAAAGGTCAAGGAGTCATAAAGTGACTGGTGTTCCTGCAGCAACACTTCGCGCTTTGAAGGTTTGAAGTGCATACCAAATAATGGGACCACTCTAGACAGACAATTCAGGGTTGATTGTACATCCGCAACATCGTCGAAAAGTAAGATGATATTGTCCGCATAATCAGTATCAACTAGTATTTCACTAGGCAGCACTTCAACGTCTGCATCATGGGATTCCGCAAGGTAACTCTCTAGGATAGAATCCACGACGAAAGTGAACAAACATGGGGAAATGGGACAGCCCTGATGAACGCCACTCGTGGTCGGAAAGCTATCCGATAG